CAACATCCACTCGCCTCCAAAAGTGGTTCAAGTGTTTTCGCACCCTTGAAGAAGGGGGTGAGAGCACAGCAACTGACCCACAAACTTGCACCGTGTCTCAACCAGCCCCTCTGCACAGCCGCAGCCGCGGGAAGGGAAGGCAGCGCCTGTTCCCCTTCGTTAGGAGTGAGCACCTCCACAGCCTCCAGCCAGCAGCCCAGCCCCTCACTGAAACGACCACACAGGACACAGTCACACGTCACTAGTATATATATTTATATGTCATTAATACGGAAATTATTCATTACTATCCTGATCTAGTTGAAGATGTCCCTGCTCATTGTGCAGGGTGGTTGGACTAGATGACCTTTAAAGGTCCCTCCCAACCCAAACTATTCTATATGATTCTATGAAATGTCCTAAAGTAGGATGAAGAGAGATGCTCAACAGGTACCCCTAAGCTGTGCTCCAGGAAAGACACCGCTCACCAGCTCAAAGTGTTTCTGCTCAGCCCTGGGGAGCAACCAGAGCCAGCAGACTGCATCACCGGCGAGCGCAGCAAACCTTGGGCACAGGAGGACACAGCTTTGAAACCGTCCTGTGGCCAGGAAAGCCTTCAGAGGAGCAAGCAGCTCTGCTGCTCTCTGCTCCACGCCCCCTCAGCAGTCCCCCTCCCCCTGAGGACACGATGCCCTGCTCTCGAGGCTGTGGGAGATGAAAGGCTCAGCCCCTACACAAGGGAAACAGCACACACGGCTCGGGAAGGACTCCACACTACCTTCTCTAGCCGGGCCAGGAGCTGTGCCTGTGGCTCAAAAGCTAGCAGGAACAGGCAACGCGAAGGGTCTGTCACAACGGCAGGACCACTTCCCGTGAGGGCACTGAAGGTCAGTTTGCTATCTCACACCTAGAAATCAGACAATACTACAGGATTAAGGGGAAGGGATAAGGGGGAGGTGCTTGTGGCCATCAGACACAGTAAGAAGTGCAGGACCCAGCCTGTTCACCTCCGCCTGGGCAGGGAAGATGCAGGACAGCAGCTTCCATCACCAACTGCATCCAGTCAGAGCACCTACGGGCACCTCATGCCCGGCCGCTTTCACCCGCCATGTCACAGCCCATGCCTGCAAGTGACGGGACACACCCCGGGCTGCAGGCCACGTCAGCAGCTGTAGCAAAGTTCCCCAAGCTTCCTACCCCATCTCAGATAAAGTCCTGCCGTAGATACATAGAGCAGAAGTGTCAGAACTGGTCAACCCTAAAACAATACCTCCCTAGTAAACCCTCTGAGCTGACAGCGATCGGGAGAGTATTCAGAAGAAACTGCTTTGGTAGATTATCTGTTAAAGCAGTTCTGTTTGTTCCTGCCCGGCAGGGTGCCCGGTGTCACCCTGAGAAGCAGGAGGCAGCAGTGGTCACATCTCATCAGCACGGTGCTGCTGGATGACAACACTGTCAGCACGTTCCGCCCACTCCTGTGTCTTGGGTTTCCATGCCACCGGCACCACTGCCTGCAAAGGGTCGCTCTGGGAGCGCTGCTTTTGAGGCTGGGGAGGGCGCAGCTCGGATCCCACTGCCGCCGGAGTGTCGGAAGATGAGCTGCTGTTGAAACAACATCTGGGACTAATGCTGGGTGGACTCTGCTCCTCTTCCTGTGATCGATTGAGGCTGCCCGACAGCAAGTGGTCCTCGGGCTCTGGGCTGAACCCCTCCAGCACAGCATCCTTCTGCATGTCAGCTACCACCTGGTCTGACAACTCGCGGATCTGCCGTGATAGCACTGCAAGAGAGGTAGAGCCAGCCCTGTTATTCCCCGCCTCTCACCATCCTGTTGTGAGCGTGGGCCACCAGAGAGCCCACAAGACAGGAACAAACTGTTCAACTAGGGCTGCCTCCTCTCAGGGGAGGCAGGGGGAGGACACCGCACAGCCGCCAGGCACAAGGTCATGTTATGCTCCAAGAGGGACTGGATCCCTCCAGTTCTGGTATCACCCCTGGCGCAGGGCCCTGCCCCAAGGTGGGCTTCCGCAACAGGGCTGAGGAAGAGTCCAGAGCTGGGGCGAGACAGCACTGCCAAAACTAGTGGTCACCCCAGGCAAGATGCTGTTGGGTTGGAGGCACCACAGAGTTCAGGCTGTCTCTGAGGAAGGTGCTCTGCCCCGGAGGGCAGCGCTTCACCTGGAGGCACACCTCAGCCCCCGGGCACTCACCTCTGAGCTCCGGCTGCGGCTCTTTTCTCCCAAACGAGCAGATGCTGGGGGACAGAATGAGGCAGAAGGACAGAACCACGACCTGGAGACAGAAAGAAGATCAGCAAAGACACGGATAGCATCACCCACCACAACAGCCTGTCTCGCAAGCACGTAAGTGCAGCAGAGACCTCTTCACAGACACTGGGGCTGAAGCCACTCACCATGGTGCAGGTTTTTGCTGTGGTAGTTTTGTTGGTGGACCGTCTCACCAAGGCTTGCAGTTTCTGCAACTGATTGAGCAGTGACCTGCACAAGAGCAGGCAATGCAGGTTAATGCAGCAGCTGAACCAAGAGCTGCACGCACCCCAAATTCCCCTTTGCAGCCAGGGACAAACCACCATCCCAAGAAGAGGAACAGCCTTTCCCACCACATCTCCTGCCATGTCCAACAATGAGAACTCACATGTTCTGCTTCTGAAGCAGCTGCACCTTCTTCTGCAGCTCGTGGTTCTGAGCTGTGCAGGCTGCCACCCTTCCCGGGAAAGACGAACAGCACAGGGGAAGAACAGAGAGGTTTTATTAGTCGACAGCAGGGATTTCACCAGAGTCTCTCCTCAGGTAATCGGCCACCACCTCTGGGTGGCTGGGGCAGATAAAATTGGCCCTGGAGTCTATCCAGCACCACCTGAAGCAAAGCCCAGAGAGCGATGGGGGACAGAATGAGGCAGAAGGACAGAACCACGACCTGGAGACAGAAAGAAGATCAGCAAAGACACGGATAGCATCACCCACCACAACAGCCTGTCTCGCAAGCACGTAAGTGCAGCAGAGACCTCTTCACAGACACTGGGGCTGAAGCCACTCACCATGGTGCAGGTTTTTGCTGTGGTAGTTTTGTTGGTGGACCGTCTCACCAAGGCTTGCAGTTTCTGCAACTGATTGAGCAGTGACCTGCACAAGAGCAGGCAATGCAGGTTAATGCAGCAGCTGAACCAAGAGCTGCACGCACCCCAAATTCCCCTTTGCAGCCAGGGACAAACCACCATCCCAAGAAGAGGAACAGCCTTTCCCACCACATCTCCTGCCATGTCCAACAATGAGAACTCACATGTTCTGCTTCTGAAGCAGCTGCACCTTCTTCTGCAGCTCGTGGTTCTGAGCTGTGCAGGCTGCCACCCTTCCCGGGAAAGACGAACAGCACAGGGGAAGAACAGAGAGGTTTTATTAGTCGACAGCAGGGATTTCACCAGAGTCTCTCCTCAGGTAATCGGCCACCACCTCTGGGTGGCTGGGGCAGATAAAATTGGCCCTGGAGTCTATCCAGCACCACCTGAAGCAAAGCCCAGAGAGCGACATCTCACACCAGGTTTGGGGAGGGGTGAGCCCTGCCCAGAAGCCACAGAGAATCACCACCCTAAGGATGCTTGCTCCTAGCAGCACATCAGATCCGCCACGTTAGGCTGTATTGCAAAATAACCTGATCTGGAGAACACGCTGGACCTGGCAGGACAGCACCTGGCTTGAACAGAGCAAGCTCTAGGCCACCTCCAAACATAAGAGAGCAGGGCAGGCTATGCCCTGAGCTTCTGAGCCCCCTGAGGAGAGCTGCTGCCCTACAGGGTCAGCCTCATTTTCTGCCCAGGGTGGCAAGACCCCAGCAGGGGCACAGCACAGCTGCTTGTGAGCAGTATCCCCTGCTCCCAACCCTTGACACTGTGGTCAGCACATCTAATGCCATTTTATGAGGTGAACATCCATTCCCTGTGACCCAGCAGGTCATGTATTCATTTCCTTTCCCTCATTATCAGGCCCTGAAGGTCCTGTGCACCAAGTAGACAAATCAGATTTCTTTTTCTCCTCCCTACCGTCTTCAAGGTTCCAGAGCACCAGGCCAATTAGTTTCTTCCTTATTGGCCTTGAAGGTCCCAGGCACCTGGCCAGCCCAGTGTTGTTTACAACACTGTCACAGACCACAGAGGCATAACAGCACGGAGAGCACTGTCCATAAAATCAAGCAGTTACAAGTACTATGGGGGAAACATGGACAGGAGCTGCTGCTGGAGAATGAGACCCAGGAACCCCTCTGGCCAGAAACATTTCCACCATCATCTGCTGCCTCTCAGGATTGAGGGATTGACTAATATTCCCTTAAATAATTTTCAAGTCTAGATTATGTTCATTATATTGATAAAGAAAACAATGTATTACGATCTGACCCGATCTGCAGAGGGTCCAGGTGATTAGAAATCGTAAGTTATGTTGTACTAGGATCTAGGTGATTAGAAATTGTAAGTTAAGTTGTATTACAAATTCTGTATTATGCTGCTTATAGATTGTACTACATTGATTCTGCTTGTAGAAATACCATGCCATTCCAATCAAATTCTGTGCTAGACTAACCACAACATGTTAAGAAAGCAAAGCTTTAAGTGAAACTACAATTTAGTGACGTCATCATTCTGCCAACAGTCCCTAAAAGTGTCCGTCCCCTCAGTGTTGGGTGACACTACTGTGCCGGTACCTGTTTTCCAAGCCATCCACGTAGATCTTCTTCCTGCGACGACTATCCTGGGCTGACTGCTTGTTCCGGATCTTGCGACGCACTTTCTTCAGAAGCCGCTCTTCAGCCTGCAAGAGTCTTTTCTCGTTAGCAGCAATGCCAGAGCGTTGGCAATCCAGCCCTCACAGACCCTGCATACATCCCAGCGCTCAGCCCACGTGCTTTTGTCCTCTGTCCCCTCCCACACCACTGAATAAACTGCAGGAGCTGCAAGGCAAACTCTGTTCTTGATACGGCCAGCAGCTTCCCTGATGCAGCAAAAGTGAGGCATACCTAAGGGAGATGAAAATCACACAGCTCACAAGCCACTAGGCAAGTGGGAAAAAATAGGTTGGAGGCACTTGTGGTGTAACTGTCTTCTGTAAGCAGCCATGAGTGGGGAGACTGACCTGACAGCAGCCGGGTCTCTTTGTTCTTCGTATGTACCCAACTAGCAACGCAGACGCTGCTGTGCATGTGGACACCAACCGGGCCTCGAAAGGAGGAAAAGGACACCAAGTGCGGCCACATGCTGCCCTGAATGCAGCACCTGGGCAGCAATGCTCTCACCAAGGCACCATCCTGTACTTTTGAATTCCTACTCTGGCTGAAGCATTCAAGTGGTCCTAGTTTGTTTGGGAATGACAGGCTGTAGCGAGGACTCACTTTGGTCAATGGCCCACAGGTCGGTAATGAAACACCTTCTTTCTCCAGGAGCTGCCTCTCCTCCTCTGTCAGGACCAGCTCTGGGAAATCAGACTGAAAAACAGCAAAAGTACACCCACTGAGAATGCACGGTAAAGGGAGTCCACCCCAGGGCAGAGGGGGCATGCAGAAGGCACACAGAATCAGGATCAGCTCTGCTAAAGCACCATCATGCTTTCCTCATAAATATCCCCCACAGGAGCCAGGCCAGGAGAGAAGGGAAGACACAATCAGAAGCAAAGGCTGAGGCACACACACATGGCAGTCAGTACCTGCACGATGGCTCCAGGCACAGGCTGGGGTCCAGCATCCACCGCAACAGCAATGGGGAAACTGGAGCTCTGTTCCAGTGCCCTGCTTGTGCTTTCTAAACCCATCCATGTCTCTGGGGAAAGAAAGGAGAGTCAAACACTGGGCCTCATTGAGGCAGCACCTGACCGGCCAGCTTTGAGTAGCATAAAACCACAATTTCACAGCAGCAGAAAGCCACTAAACTCCGGTCTTGCGAATGCTGACTGGCACCCACCCAAAAAAACCCAATGTGGGTCTGCTTTTCTGCTTCTATCCAGGACAGAAGTAGCCCAAGCACATCACTTACCAAGGTCAATGGAAAAATCTCCTTCTGCTGTGTCAGATTTCACACTTTCCAGCACAGGCCAGTCCTGATGGAGGAAATAGTTGTGATCAATGTGCACGATGTCTGAGCTCTGAGGACTGCCCGCAAAGTCACTGCTGGGGCTATGGGACAGATGCTGATCCTCAGAAATGCCGCTGTCGCTGTCAGCAGGCAAATAACCCTGCAGCGTGCCTGGTTCTTCTTCAAAGGGGCTCAGCAGGGAGCTGATGAAGTCATCCACCTCCTTGTCCAGGAGCTGCGGAGAAAAAGCTTTTACTCAGCAGGGAGCCAAATCTCCTGAACCACAACTCCGTAGCGATTCCTCCCAAGGAACTCACCTCAGGCTCTGTCAGGTCCCAGTCTTCCAGCAGACCGTTATCCTCCCCTGGGATTTCAGGGCAGGGAGCATCATCCTTCAGAAGGAAGTCAAGCAGGTCCTCATCTGCCAGGGCAGCCACTTCCTCTGGGCATGACATCTAAGCAGGACACCCAAAGTGAGCACAGGCACAGGGGGAGACAGCAGTACCCCTTCAAGATGTCCCTCAGCCCCTACAGACAAATCTCCTTGTGCAATGGCACCAGCTGCCAGGGCCCTGCAGTGACAACCAGCCCATGAGTACTTCCCCAACAAGGCTATCATACCAGCACTGGTGGCCCCACCATACCAGGTTCTCCACAAGACTGCTGGGAGCCAGCCACAGGAACCATGCTCTACCCACAACACAAAAGCTGCAGGAGGGAAAGGGAAAATGGAAGGGCCCTAAATTTCTGCCATGGAGACAATGCAGGATCTTGCTGTTCCTCTGAAGCCCGAAGGTGCTGTATGCCCAGCATGCAGCCAGCAGGGCCAGCCTCCTGTCACAGGCAAATTATTAATAGAAATCATCATTGTGAGGTTAACTGAAAGGGTTTTATTAATGATTAAATGATGAGCAAATGACAATTGATCAATGAGACTGAATGACAATGAAATGGTAATCAAATGGTGACTAAGCGATAATTGAATGGCATACATTGATTCGACAGTGATTTAAGTGGTGATTTAAACAATAATTTAGACAGTGGTCAAACACTCTGCTACTCACTACACTTCTAATAATGAAGCTATAGCTGGATATCTATAAACTTCACTAGCATACAATATACTTCTAGG